CCCCCCCCGACTACCACCCAAAAACCAAGCCCACCCCTTTGCCACACCCCCAAGATACCATCGGTGTATAAGCACTATCAGTGGGAGGAGCCACAGTTAGGGGGAGGGCTTAACTGAATCCCTGTCTGATGCTGTAGGACATACACACACACTGCTTGATCTCATCCCTGTAACTCAATGCACCACTAGCTACCTGTAAAGCAAAAGCACTGAAAAACTACACGAAAAAACAAAAAATATGAGTAAGTAATAAGCTTTACACACATCAATGACAATAGAACATCCATTTACTGTCGCCAGTTTCCCGGCAGCCATTGTTTAAATGTTGTTAAAATATTCGAACTGAAGTTTTACCCTGGTTCAGTCAGGATCCAGCCCCAATCCAGATCTCAGCACCATTTCTAACCAAAATGACACCTTATCCCCATCTATCCTACTGGCACCCCTTCTGGGGAGGGGGGAGGCTAACAAGGCAGACCCCCGCAGCCTCTCTGCATCAAAAGGTCCGTCTTCACCTCCTCGTTAGCCGTAGCTGAGGTGTGAATGGTTCAGCTATCGAGACTGAAACCAGCCCGCGGCCACAGACCTAGAAGTTACAGTCGTCTGCTCTGCCATGCCACAGTGACCGTGACATGTGACACTGGGACAGGGAGGGGTGTCACAGTTACGCCTCACATTTGTGTGATGCCACTGTCATATATTTAAAGTAAAAGTCTGTTAAACTGTAGTGTTTCAGCTTCAACCCCTGTCAGTTTAACATGTCACCAGTTCCAAAGCATAATAAAAAAAACATTGCAACACGATTCCTTTCATTTCCTCAAACAGTTTCACTTTGACGAGTTTTGACACGCTAGCAACCACTTCCTTAGTCTACTGCAGTTATGCTACTTGCAATTATTTTCCCCCGTGCATTCATCCATTTAATACCCAGCTGAGAGCCAGAAGGTGTCCAGGCAGGGAACTCTCAAACTCAAGCGAGATAAAATCACGTGATATCCAGGGAGCTTAAACGGTGCAGAACATATATAAACACACGCACGTGTGCATTATATAGGCCTATAATTTATATGTACATTTGGATATGCAGCAAACTATTCATGCATTTATTTCTGTGTGTCGCTTGGCTGCGTCTGGTTTGCAGCCCCTTCTTTAACGGCCCACTATCACGGAGGCAGGGGCGCCTTTCCATCAAGCGCCGGGGCAGAGAGTAAGAAAAGTCTGCTTCTATTGCGTCGGAGGGTGACCGATCTGGGTTTGAAAAGGGGTCCTTTTCTTCCCCAAGACCTGCCCGCCGGTTGACCCAGGGTGTTGTGCAACCTGAACCAGAAACAGGAGAAGCTCGCTGGCCCACTCTTCCCGAAGGTCGCAACCCCAAACACTGATATTTGCGAAGAGACAATCGGGCGTTATAAAAAGCAGCAGGACCGACAAAGGAAGCCGCTCTGAGCGTTTACAGACCTGCTGAATATTACATGACGTGGTGCACAGTGGAACCCAAAGAAAGTCTTTAAGAGGGGTGTCTTTAAGGAGAATCTCGCCCAGTCATATACACGCAAGTTTTATCTTGAATCGGTCTGCTGTGAACCACAACGAAATGCTTTTTTTTTTTTTTTTTTAAAGATATAACCGCAATCCTCCCGTTTATTATCCTTAAAACGCACCGAAGTCTCGCATTCTCCTTCACAGAAGTGGAGCTGTCTAATTCACCCCAGATGATTATTTGTAATGATTCGTATTATATAATACCCTAAATGTAAAATACAAGATCGTTTTGTTGAAAGCCGTCCATCTTGTGAGTCCAAACGTTAGACATCCTCGGAGTTTTGAAAACAATCAGCTTCGACACCCAGGTCGGAAATTCTCCGGTTCAAAAATAATAATGTAATTCCCGTTATATGGGTGCGATCGGTGCTCCTGTTACGGGCTTCGGTACCGTGCGTAAGCACTACGGTTGTTGCGTTTTGATTTTATAGTTTACGCATTTGCTGCGATACCCGGTGTATATACAATATACCTACAGATTTTAGATGAACGGTATGCGTACCCTGTCAATCAAAATACATCCCATATGGTTAAGAGTAACGGCGGTTGTCGCAAGCTGGGCAGAGACATCGCTTCCTTTGGGCACAGATCCACTGGCATTGCTATGATCTCCAAGGATCGGGCTGCAGGGACCTTTGATACACGTGTTACCTGCCACCCTTATAAGCAAACCCGCTAATAGCAGTCAATAATCTGTAATACCTGCGATCGGCTACCTCTACTGGTTATAAAGCATTCGATTAGACCTTGCGCCTCGACGAGTCGCACTTCAGTACTTTTAGATGTAGTTTATTTAGCAAAAACAAACTTAGCGCAATAAAATTGCGCATACAGTACGTTAAATTGGAGTTTCCATTCCCTCCCTTACAGAATGGTGCTCGTCGCAGACAACTTTCCTATCAGTCGGTACCACGTAATGTCAATAATAATTAAAGCAAACTCTTGCCCCCTGTGAGCTAGGCGTCTTCGCTTACCTTTTTGGCCCCTTGCTTGGCGAACTCCTTGGCCAGGTGGCGACCGATGCCCCTACCCCCGCCGGTGATGAGCACCACCTCGCCGCTCAGGTCTTTGCGCTTGCTGGGCAGCAGAAAGCAGACGCCCGCCTTAATAACGCAGTAAGCGATCTGGAGGCAGAGCAGCACCAGGGCACACAGCGGTTTCACCGTCATTTTTTTTGCCCCGGTGTATAATTAATTCTTCAAAACTGATAATATCCCAGTAGAATTCAGACAGCTTTTTGCATTACTCTATACCCCCTAGTTTGCTTTGGGACACAAGTCTTCAAAGGCGATTCGTCTTTAATATATATCGCTACAGTATGCACTTAATCACTAAAAAAAATTAAACTTTTGCCTTTTGGAGTTGTTATTTTTTTAAGAATACGGGGAAAGTGAGTTTGCGGCTCTCCTGCAGGTCGGCAGCGTCTGAGCTACAAAGTGCCGCATGTCAAGTCGCGTTTTGCCTGCTCCTCATAATTTAGGGAACCGGACGGCGCTCATTCCCCTTTTCGGACACCCCCTCCTCCTTAACCTCTCTTAAAATAATAGTCGGCGAATGTGATTCAGCAGCCGACGTTTCCTTTTTTAAAGTTAAAACTGGAGCGAAAGATACGCGTTATTGCCCCTGTTCTAAGATTCGGACTCTGTGTTACTTTTTTTCCCCTGAAGACGGTGCCGATCCACCGCGGGTCGCAACTCGGTGATCCCCTCAGTGTCTGGTAGACTTGGATCTGATGGGAGTTTTTAAAGGCCATTAATCCTGATTGACAGTTTAAGTGTCGGGGGATATTGCACTACCGTGCCGTCTGTGGGTGGTTGTTTTTCGGTTCCCTGTTTCTCCACCCCCCCATCCCCCCCAGAGACTATGCAACAAGCGGACACTGCATACATACCCTCACCTTTTTCGATGTTTGCGAAGGGCATTTTTCGTCATGTCACCTGACTGCAAGACAATCTTTGAAAAAATATTACATTTGAGAATAAATTGCCTCCCATTTCGATATCTGTTTAATCTCTTTATGTATTACTAGATGATTTTTTCATACGACTTATTCCCGTTTATACCAGTTTAAGCTTCATTTGAAAAGGGAAAAATGTGGATGGGATCTGGCATGTAGACTCTTGCATAACTGCTACAATGTTTTTTCTTTAATTCTGAGTCATTCTGAGTATGTCCGTTATAATGCGGTCGTAAAAATTGTGTCCCGTATAATATGGCGCGGAATCTTTTGTAAATCAATCAGTTGTTATCTTGTGTTAAACTATTCATCTGTGTATGGAAATGACACTGAGCTGCAGGCAAGGGCGAAGGTTTGGTTTCAACATTAGTAGGGACCAAATCAGCCGCGAACCCCCGCCCCCTAAACATACACAGTACTCCCGCAGTATTGATAGGGTCATGTTCCTACCGTCCATACCCGAATCTACGCCCTTGGTCAGCTCATGAACACGCGTCGGTCAGATATGAACGGGTCTGGGAACGATCTCCAGGGAGAAAAGAAAAACAGCAGATCTCGGCGTGCAGATAACACGAGTTCCTGACCCGATTTACGGGAAGAGTACGGCAAGAGGCATGTGGTTCTCAAGCCAGAGGAGAGCAGCATAAGTGGATATATGTATATGGAAATTCTGCACCTTAACACAAAAGCAAGTACCTTTCTGCCAGGTACTTCATACACTTGTAAACTCATCATTTACTCACTTCAAAGTAAACTTATCATTTACTTTGAAGAAATGGAAGTTTCGGCTGTGGGATAACTAAAGTAACAGCTATATTGTTCACGTGGGAACCTGGGACCGTGAAGATACAGTCAGGCAGCAGTGCCCTGCCCCCATTGGCTGTCCCTCTGGTTTTAGGAAGTTTACCTTAGCCCTGCAGGTGACGTCGCTGAGTTCAGGGTCATCTGGGTCCTTCCTCATCAACCTCCCAGAGTATATGAGGTGTGTGTACAACAGATTGAACTGAAGCCATGTTTTGTGAATAGCCGAGTCACCAAACCCCTTTATATCTCACAGACACCCAGATGCAAAGACAGACATGCACATACAACACAACGTATTGTGGGGAATTCTCCTCGACCATCCATTTAACACATGTAATTGGTCTCAGCCTTTCCCCAGTAAAATTCTAGTGAAAGGTTGGTTAACGTTGACATGTCTACTTCCTTAAGAAAGATTAAGTTAATAAAAAAATGCAAACTTACTCTCTATATGGATACATTTTCTCACCAATAATGAAACGAAACCCAAACACACAGGAGCAGAACCATCCTGAGTGAATATCCCACCTGTGCACTATATCCTTCCAGAAAAGTCCTCTGTGGATCTGTGCATAGACAGCCACTTCACTAAAGCACTAAAGCAAATGTTTGTTGGGCTTTCGCTAAGCTACAAACCTGTGATTTTTAGGCATTGCCTGTAAGGTGGTGGTGGGGGGGAGGTTGGTTGGTCAGCCTTACAAACACTGCCTGCTCTTGTCATGTCATCAAAGATGGGGAGATGCCTGTTAGCTGGAATTAATGCCGCGTGTGTCTTGGCCCCCATGGAGGGAGCTTGGTACTGGGGGGTGGTTAGTGAAGGATTAAGGAGTGATTCTGGTGGAGAAATACATACAGAGTGAAGTGGTGCATCACAAAGATAGACGTTACCTGTAGAGAAACCTCCTGGTGCCGTGATCAGGCTCTGACAGCACGAATGCTGCCCTGCACCTCCTATCCCATGAAACTCAAGCCAATGATGAAAGCCTGTCTTCATGTAGCGTCTTAAGGTTCACAAGCCATATGGCTTCACTCAGGTCAACATCGCCATCTACAGATCATTGCTGAAAGTTTGGGTGTTTCCATAGCTGAAGATTCTGAGTGTGGTCAGATTTTGATACCTATAGAAAGACTTTAATTCATGTATGATTTTCTGTGCAAACGACAAATGGTTTATTTGAATCTGTGTTTATCAAGTCAAGGAAGTTATACACAGAACACAGTGAAACGAAACGTTTCTCCAGAATCGACACATAGAACAAAAACAGCAACATCAGAAGGTTACACAAGTGCATGCAGGACAAAATGATTTTTTATGTTAATTAATTTTTTTGAAAGGCTGGGGGCCTCACCTTAACAGTAATCAGTAACTGGTCCACGTAACTGTCAGTCAGTAGAGGCTGAACTGGGAAAGCTGTAATCTGAAACCTCACGGTGAGCTGAAAGGTTGGGTGAAATGGTAACTGTTGGGTTTCCCCATTAGTCTGCGGTCAGAATGGACATAGGTGTCGCGATTCTGATAACGGGCTTCGCTGCCGTCTTTGCGGCGTTCCTGCTGCTTCTAAATGGCCTCATCTACTCAGAATTCACAAATTCGAAAATCCCCCTTGGAGTCGTCAGTCGCCGGAAGCTGCACCTGGTCCACATGGTACAAGTTGGGTGTGCGGTTCTGGTGAGTGTTGGGCATTTAGGAATGACAACTAGGCTATAATTTCTTCATTATCATCATCTTATTATTATTGTTAATCATCTCTTTGTACCTTGTGATACTCTCCTTGCTTTCCACGACCCTGTGTTAATCAATGGTTATGAAAAATGGATATATATCATTAACTTGTAACATATGTTAGTGCAGTGGTCACCAGCCCTTCTCTTGGAGATCTACCCCCCTGCAGAGATTAGCTGCAGCCCTCCTTTAACACACCTGATGCAGAACATCAGGATCTTCAGTAGCATCTCAATATTAGAGCCGGCTATGTTGAACCCAAGTTGGATTTAATACTGAGATGCTACTGAAGGGCCTAATTTTCTGTATCAGATGTGTTAAATTAGGGCTGCAGCCAGGATCTGCTGACCAATTTGCTAGTGGGAAAGAAATATTTAAGAAGTTTAACATCAGATCGTAAACTTGTGTTCTGTGAGCCTTTTCCTTTGTGCCGTTTGACCTTGATAACTTGGTTTGACTCTGATAAGTGGAAGGACGTTCCCTTAAACCACAGCCGAGCCTGGCCACAGAAATTAAAGCTACTCCTTTTTACTATTGTAACCCATTACAAAGTCCACAAGATATCATTTTGTTCTCTTTGGGAAGTTAAAGGTTAACGTGATTGTTAGTACAATTCCAGTGTGTGCCACAGGTCTGTGCCAAACTCAATAGTTAACTGATATTGGACTGATGATGCAAGACAATTCATTATTTTCTCTCTCTTTATTGTACTAAAAAAAACCTTGTTAAGTTAAATACTTCATCTGATCTAGTTCCTTTTTGTATTTTGGCTTGGAACAGCCATTCCTGGTTGATTTAATTTTCCTTTCTTGAGTCTGTGTGAAACAGCGTCGTTGCTTACCCAGACTTTGACCTTTCGTTGAATTCTCTTCTCCATGCACTTGTCATTCAGTACAAGCTTGGCTAAAGAATTCTTGCTGTTAATCACTAACATTAAGAACAGTCTGCTGGAAACGCCATTGCTTTTGTCTTTTTTGGTATTTTTAAAATCTTTGCACTTTTGCTGGAATGTTTCGTTGGATGCAAACTCTGGTGAAGTGTCTTCGGCTTGGAGTTTCTCCCGTTAGCGGACAGGATTGGACCTTCCCCCTCCTCTGCTTTGAACATCATAATCAGGAAAATGTCACTGGGATACAGGCGAGGTTGTGGACAGCTGTGATGATGAAAGGAATTTGATGGCTTTTGTGCTCTCATAACTAAACCAGTCTATTCAGCTGTTAATTGTTGTCTGAAGAATTCCTCCATTTTTGCGAAAAAAAAAAAAAAAACTGTCAATAATTGATGTCTCTCGCTTCATTAGGGTCGGATCCTGGAGCGCATGGGCCTCTGCCACCAGATCACATTTACGCGGAAGGTGCTATCCTGGCTCACAGTCCGGAAGGAGCCTGTTCCCTCAGGACTACGCATCAAAGACCTGATGTTTGCCAATGTTCCTGTCCGGGCATATGAGCCTACAGTGCCCTCTGGTGGCAGGAGGAGAGCATTGGTTTACTTCCATGGAGGAGGTTGGGTATTAGGCAGTATAGGTGAGAGTCTCAGTATGGGTCGTCCAGCTGGGTTGTGCCCGTGTTTGAGTGGGAGCCATCGTAGCCTCATACAGTGTGATTCTTCACAGATACGGCTGATGCGGTCTGCAGATACATCGCCAAGGAGTCTGACACGGTAGTGATATCTGTTGGGTAAGTTTCAGTGATCCTTTTTTGCTCACATGTGATAAAATCACTGCAGTTTATGGTTACATCTTTAAAGTGTCCTCACTCCCTTGGATTTTTCCATGTTTTCTACTGCTACAACCTGGAATTAAACTGGGATTTCTATTACAGATTTATGTTTAATTTTCACAACATGTTGAACACTTTGAAGGTGCAAAATATTGTAACACGAAAGTTCAACAGAAAAGCAGATATATGCTGGTTGTATATAATGTCAGTGCCCCCCCCCATTTAATAATTGGTAGATCCACCATTGAACTGTACATTAATTGCTCATTCCATGTCCATTGTTAAGTAACCATTTTTAAGTCAGATTCTCGTAGGTGGACTGGTGGCTCTGATGCTAGGGGTCTGGGCTGGGACTTGGAAGGTTGTTGGTTTTAATCCCGTGAACGCTAGGAGTGATCCTACTCTGTTGGGGTATTGAGCGAGGCCCTTAACCTGCAATTGCTTTGTCCTGGGTATGACTTTAACCTACATCCGGCCCTGCGAGCAGGTCCTCCAGCTTGCAGGGAAGATTTGGGGGTTGGTGACAGGATTGTTACTCCAGCCACTGGAAAAAAACTCACACTGTTCCATTCCATTTGAACTAGTGTGGTGCTGAGGTATCACTGCCGCACGGTTGCACTCCGCTTCCCATCCCTGCGGTGTTTTGTTGTGTGGTGGGTGGCTATGCTCTGTATCAGCCGCTCCTTACCTCATGCACAGATTCTCAATCAGATTGTGGGATTTTTCACAGGGGCCAGGGAAAGTATGCACACTTTGCTCAGCCATTCCTCCTGACCTTCTTCACAACATGGCTTTTAAGTCTTGCTGGTGAAGACTGCACTGCCCCAAGTTTATCCACCATGAGCCACATTGTGTTAGCATTCCTTGTGGTGAATTGTGAGGAAACAAGGTTAGTGTTGACCTGCATGGTGCTGATCGCCCCCTGCTGGTGTGTGGTGGAATCCCAATGGACCGTCGCATCACACTGGAAGCTGAACCTCTACCTCAGTTGAAATAGGTTTTCCTCTACAGTTGCCATGTATTCGGCTCCATCCATCTTGCTGATTAAATGCGTCTCCACAGCATCACCCCAACACCACCATACCTCACCCTGGGAATGGAGTTCTCGGGGGGAGGAGAGTTTCGTTTCAGCACCACATAAAGCTTTACTAAGGTGAAAAAGTTCAATTTTGGTCTTATCAAACCGGAGAACCTTTTTTTACATGTTTTCAGTGTCTCCCACATGACTTTTGGAAGATTCCAAACAGGAATTCATCTGTTTCTTTTTCAATAATAGGTTCCCTCTCACCACTCTTCCATAAAGCCAGTGTTGAGGAACATCCAGGTTATAGGTTATTTGATTAACCTCCTCATTATCTTGTCACTGATGCTTGATGGCCTTTGCGATATTCTTTCCATTTTTTTATGAATGGATTTAACAGCTCTCTGCAGCTGTTCAAAGTCTTTAAAGTATTTTTTATAACCAAAGCCTGACTGATGTTTCTCCTGAACTTAATCCAGGCTTGTTTTGAAAGCTCTTTGATCTTCATGATGTTGTTTATCGAGATATGTTTTCTAACAATCTCTGGGGCTTGGCAGACACAGGTATATTTATTTTGGGTTGATGTGAAACTCTAATTGCGCACAGGTTGACTCCATTCAATGAATTATGAGTGACGGCTGGCTGTTACCACGGCTGATTTAGTGGTTTCACGGGGGGTGAATAATTACGCACTCAAGACTTTTCAGCTTTTATATTTGTAAATAATTTTGAAAGCTACATAGATTTTTTTGACACTTTGATATTATGTACTATTTTATATAGATCTGTAATATAAAAGCCTGATTAAACCCATTTTTCAAATGGCGTTTTAGATGACCATGTTACAATATCTGGGGCAAATATGTAGGATTCCATTTTCCCAAAAAAAAAACACGCATCACAGTGACAAAAACTGTATTTATTTCGTCACAGCTACCGGCTGGCCCCTGAGCACCGATACCCCGCCCAGCTGGATGACTGCGAGGCCGCTACGTGTCACTTCCTCTCCGTGGCCGAGGCAGAGTTCGGCGTGGATATGCGGCGCATAGCTGTGGGCGGGGACAGCGCCGGGGGCAACCTGGCGGCGGCGCTGTGCCAGCGGCTAGCGCAGCCGCAGTCGGGGGGTCTGCCACCGCTACGGTCTCAGGTGCTTATCTACCCCGCCCTGCAGATGGCTGACTTCAGCCTACCCTCCTATGTGCAGAACCAAGCCGTGCCCCTTCTTTTCCGCGGACGGGCGGCATTCTACTTCCTGCAGTACCTCAACGGGGAAATGTCAGTGTGCCAGGATGTGCTGGAGGGCAGCCATGTTCCCGCTGACCTCCGACTGCAGTACCGGCGCTGGTTGTCCCCAGACAACCTCCCACCGGATTTCCTACCTAGGGACTACAAGGAGCCGGAGCCGGGCGAGTTCGACGGGGAGGTCTATCACCTGCTTCGCGAGGGTCTGGAGCCTGGCATGTCCCCGCTGCTGGCGGAGGACTCCGTGCTGCGCTTGACTCCGCCTACTTTCATGCTAACCTGCGAGTATGACGTGCTCAGGGACGACGGGCTACTGTATCGTAAGCGGCTGGAGGACCTGGGCGTGGCCGTGTCCTGGCGCCACATCCCGGACGGATTTCATGGTATCCTCAACTTCTGTAGCAGTGGATGGCTGACCTTCCCGTCTTCCCGGGCAGCCATGGACTGCATTGTGGAATACGTAAAAACAATCTGAGGTTTCTCCAGCCCCAAACGCACCGTACACACTCTCTGCATGGTCTCAGTACATCGGCTGGGAGTGCTTTAAAATCAGTGCATCGTCTCCTTTCCGAAATAATGACCTGAACATAGGGCCAGCGCTACCTTTTCAAAGGCCCTGTGCAAAGTGTTACATAACCCCCCCCCACCAAGAAAACTGATGCTCATTTTACTTCCTCCACAATGCAGTATATTTCAGGGGCCTTAGGCAGCTGCCATTCTCCTAGAGCCTTCTGTCCAATCAAGACGGTGGGCATGCAGGGGGAGAGTCCCCACCTCCCATTGGCCGTGGGCATGCACGGGGAGAGTGTCCACCTCCCATTAAGTAGAAAATGTAGATAAACAATGCAAACTGCTGAATTCAGATAAATGTTGCCATTATGTGGTCAAGTACAAAGAAACCCATTCAAAAATTCCGAGTTACCTAATGTAAACAGGATGCTTGCACATTTGGAAATATTAATAAAGTATTTTCTTTTTGACGGGCCAAATAAATGCCTTTGCACTTTATATTATTTTTTATTAATTTTAATAATGTCTTTGATGTCAGATTTTCTTTTTATTCAAGTAATAATTATGCCCCAAATCCAAGTCTGCCTGCGGTGCCAAGGCTATACCCGTGCGGCTTATCTTCTATTTGGAAACGCAACGCGGCACGTACGGAAGGCGCTACGCTTTCCAAAACCACAGAAGATTATCTATTATTTAAGGTGCTGTGCTTTTTTTCTTTCTTTTGGGTTGGGGGTAAAAATCCACTTGCATTAAGCTCATCACATCTATGAGGATTCGCGTTGTTTGTCGTATCCATAGCAACAGACTACCGCCTCCCGCGTGCATCATTAATCCACATGTTGTAAACATAGAACTAAAAATTAATACGGATAGCAGCAGGTTCCCTCCACCAACAAATCAGTCATATATGATTTAATGTGGCATGGAATGGGTAGACCCGAGACGAAGCATGATATGTGGAAAATCGAGAGGAAGTACAGCAGCAGAGTCCTCATCGGGAACTGGGCTGAAGACAAACTAAAGGTTTGGTGATTTATTCGTTTTCTCACCATAGGAATGAAGCAGCGCTTTTTAGTGATCATCGAGGTCTCGAGGAGAGACGGTAACTCTGTTTTAATAGCGGCAATAGTGATTTTATTTCTGTCAAAGTGACAATTAAGGGTAAGGCGATGCTATCACGTGTTATTATGGAAAAAAAAATAAAACCTAAGCTTCCACCGGTAATGGGGTCGTAACGAGATTACTAGTATTATTACTAGTAGTAAGTGTAGAAACCGATAGCTGTAATAATAATTATACGTAGACAGTCATTTTATAAAGTGCTTATTTACTTTTAAGTATTTTTACTGAATCTTCTTCTTGGACCGTTTGAATTAGAAGTTCTCATTTTGAACCACCATATGAATTTCAGATTCCGAGGTTAGCTTAAAGAGATATAACAACATAACAGGATTAATATTCATTTGACATACATTTTACGGGCGTCTTGTCCAGAATATCCCAGAAAGTGCCCTGATCCTGTACTAGGTAATTAGTTTTATACACTTATACATTTTTTACCGATATGTTTAAACACCTGGTCATCCAGTTATGTATGCTGTTGATAGTTTACAAAGGAGTTTCCCAGAACTGGTGGCAGCAGCACCTACCAGCATGATTACCGTCCACGGAGGGACCACACACCCGATGTCCTTGTCAGAGGAGACGCTCTGCGCAGAGCTGAGGTCAGGTGACTACCAGCCTTCTCCCGCCACAAAACTTAGTAGGCAGGATGCTACTCGCTAAATGCTAGCCGTCCCTGTAGGTGCTGTTCAGTCTCTCCTGAACTGTCTTCAGTCGAAGAGCACATCATTTTTGTCAGAACTAAGCTTCCAGAAAATGCAGTGCTCCATGCTGGCTAGAACGCTAAGTCCTCAAAAGGAGTGGGAATCATCTTCCTGCACAAAGGATGAGAAAAGTAGTCACGGAATTTTTTTGGCACACAAAAGGGTCTGGTGCAATTTTTCTTGTACAGTGAGGGGCCTGCTGGGGAAGGAGGTGGGACATTGTTAGAGATCGGCATTAAATGAACCCCCACCCCGCAGGGCGTCCCTACAAAGCTGCTTCTATCCCACCACGGCACTCCACATTCCCACTGCCTCGTCAGCCTGTACGACGAGATGTACGGCCGCAAGCCCAGCTCTACCCTGAGGTCATGGCACCCCGACAAGCTGGCCTGGGTGCCCGAGAGGTCGGACCATCCTGTTCAAAGTAGGTGGGGTCTGGCTGCCATCATATGATAATGACATCATAAAGGTGCCGGAGCATCTGTTCTGTTGGTACAAGGGACAGGTGTTTTTATTATGGCGTGGAATTGAGTGGAAATGATCACAGACGTGTGGGGAATCCCAACCCGTTTCACCATCTCATCTTTTCAGGCCCACCAACGAACTTTGGTCTGGCTGAGTCGTGGCGAGCCAGGTGGGGGCCGCGGCGGGATGCTCTGCCTGCTGTCTCCTGCCCCTCCCCCTCTGCCTTTGTCCAGACCCGCTCCATCCGCTCATCTTCCGCTCCTGCTGGTCCCGCGAGTGATGCGGCACGGGGCCGACGATGGCCTTCAAGCAGCTGCACAGTCAACGACACCACAAGCCGCCTGCCTGTTCTAGCTCAAATGTAGGCACTTAGCTGTGGCCACATTCCCTGCTGGTGAACCAGCTCCCGGCCCGACCCTGTGAGCTAGATCCTATTCATGAAGTTATATGTGGCAGTAAATTATATGAAAATAAAACAAAAATAAAGTTGGGTATTAAATTGCATTTACTCGATATCTCACTTGATCCTGTTGTAGTTCACTTCAAAGAGAGGACATCTAAAAAATTACCCTGTTCACTATTGCTCATGTCCAGGAGTATTTGTAAACCTGTGTCAGATCAAACCGCTTGAAGGAACGTCCTTCTTCACACCCCAGGGTTGACCGGGCTGTTTTGCGAGTACTGGAGCAGCAAGTGATTCTGGGACACATCTGAGGGGACCAGTTGGACTCTCTTTCCATTAGGTGTTTAATTACAGGGAATCAAAGTGTTTAATTATGGGGAATCAAACATCCTTATGTTTGATGGTCAGCCATCTGTGTCTTTGCCCTCCTGCTGTCGAAGCCCCCCCGCACGTCTGTACCTCTGATATTCACTTCAGCATGAGCGTGTGCACATTGCATGTGTATGAATTGTGTTTGCGCATTTGCAGCAAAATATCTGAGCATGGAGGAGGAGACAATGTTGCCTGTTAGCCTCTAGGTGGCAGCACATTCCTGGGGCTAAGCTTTTTGAAACTAGTGTTTATCTTGGGTTTTCAAGATGACCTGTTTTTGGCTGAAGTACAAGTCGAACCTTATGCTTTGTGACCAGTTAAACATTTTTCACTATTAGAAACACAGGCACATGAAACTGGATACAAGTGTATCTGAGAGCGCTGTTATTCCTGGTTGAAATAACATAAGAGGCAAACCTCACAAGACCAAATATTGTTATTCCGAATCGTAGGGCAACTGTTGACATATATGACCCATCTTTCATTTGCTTGTTTTTCTCTGTTGGGTGTCTTCACTGCAAGGTAATCGTTCACTGTCATGGTTACCTCTGAGACCCTAAGCTGGACCTTCATACGTCCTCCCCCAAGCAATTATGGCAGAAGAAGTCATGATCAAATAAGACCTGCCTGCGCACAGGAGGCAGACCTGTGACGGGAATGTAAATATTTGATGGCATCTTATTTTTAGACACCGATTAGTGTTATTCCTCGTTGGTGCTCATCTTGAAATTTGTTTGTGGCACTAAGCACAGAACAGGCTTTAGAAATTTTATTTAAATTGCAAATACATATATGTTTATAACCTAGAAAAAAAAAACACCAAATATCTATCTTAATAAACAAGGTAAACATGCATTCAAGCAAGATAATAATGAGAAATTTATATTACATTTCACCATAAAAACACAAACTGTAACTGATCACCTACATTTCATACAAAGCTGTTTATGGGCAGACAGATAAAACATTATAAACTGTTACTGAATTGCTAGCATTGCACAGAGCTGGCAATGTATTTCAGAAAAGCTGTTAACCTGTATTTTCATCCAGGCAAACCTTCTTGCACCATATAAATAAAGACTTTTGTTGCCCGAAAATGGCAGCAGTTACTTTCAAAAACTGCAAAAAAAAAAAAAAAAAAAAAAAAAANAAAAAAAAAAAAAAAAAAAAAAAGAAATCAAAAAAGCAATAAAACATCTAATTTCCTTGTAAAATTTAACTGCACATTCATTATTTCAATTTCGCTATAAAATACAGGAGTGATAGCGTCTGTGGTGACACCACAAATGAATGGAGCACCCTGCTCTCTGTGCAAGAGTCTGTGTTTATGTATCTCTCTGTTGACTTTGCTCGCCTCTGGCAATAGAAAGGCCGCAGAAATTATTGGAACAGAAAAAGTGCTGTGAAAAGCAGATCCAGAGAAATGAAAATAAAATGCAGGGTGCTGGAAGCGGCAACTGACAAAGGAAAGCTTAAAAAAGCCAAAGTGATATTAAACAATTGAATCATAATAGATTACATTGTGATATATTTCTAAACACAAGCCGGAAGCATCTTTTTGTCTTGCCTGTACAGGTAAATTGATTATGTAAAGCATTTTGTGTACTTATCTTTATGAAATTATGTCGTGATTCAAAAAGCAGCACGCCAAAACTGTTAGACATATTTATGTTGTATTTACAAATTTCTTAAAAAAAAATATGTATTTTTTTTCTGAAATCATTTGTATCTAGATAGGCCACAAGTGGTGAAAGAAACTATTTTTTTTTTCAAAATAATTCTATGATACTTTGCAAGGGCATAGGTTTGGTTTCAGCATTGGTAGGGCCCAAATAAGACTTGAACCTCGAACTCCCCTAAACACATGGTACTCCGACACTATTGGTAGGGACATGTCCCTACAGTCCATACCCAAATTTACACCCTTGATATGGAGGATAAAGGTTGCAGCGTGTTTTGGCCTGGGCTGTTACACTAGCATGGACTGACCTTGCTCACACCCTGGTCTGGAGAGTCTCCTTGTCAGGAAAGGAAAGGATGAAGGGGAAGAGCATGCCCTTCGCCTCAGAAAGGACCTTCAGGTCCTCTGCAACAAAATCAGGGGACACCTCATCAGCCAGGAACCTCATGTTGAACTGGCGGTTGATGCAGTAGATGACGTCACCCAGGACAGCACACTGGAAGGTCTGGCAATCCTGGAGTCGCCGTGAGCAACATTCGTACCACAGTCGAGCCACGGTGTGGTAGCGGTACACAGAAAGGCCCAGCGACGGGCTGATATCGAAGCGGTACAGGAAGCTCCTCAGGGCTACCATCTCCGTGGTCCTCTCCTTGCTACCGACAATCAAGCTCTGTCTCCAGACATTGGCCCGGGGGTTGTAGCGCAGTAGTGTGTACCTCAGGGTCCCTCCCGACACAAAGAGCTCCCCTTGGCAAGCTGTGGCTCGGTGTGCGACGGCAAAAGTGTCATTGGGCAGCGGCGCCACGAAGGACCAGCGGTCTGTCCGCGGGTCGTAGCGCTCGACGGTGCTAAGGCACTCACCCCCGATAGCATAGATGTACCCCTGCAGAGCCACCAGTTTGCACTGGGGCCGTGCCTCATTCATTGGGCATATCTCCTTCCAGATGGAGGTGACTGGGTTGTAGCAGAATACCCTCCTCGATGGCCTGATGTCCCGGTCGACGCCCTCACAGCCCACGGCAATGAAGAGGTAGTTGTCCATGGTACACATAGAGCATCCCTTGGAAATGACTTCTCTGGGCAGTGTGCAGAGGGCGTGCCAGCTGTCCATATAGTCGTCGTAGTAGTAAAGACGACTAGACGTCTTCGGATGGTCCGGCTCCTCCGTCTGGCATCGGGCGCCCATCCAGTCTTGGGGGTCAATGTCGGCGACAGTTAGGTACTGCCTGCCCCGCATGCGCTGCTTTTGAATTTCAGCCCTGTCTCCAGCCTTGAGCCTTCCATACAGCTCGGGGTCTCTCAACACCTGAAGGTAGTTGTCAGACATGACTTTGAGGGCAGCTTGCTGGAGGGTCTCATGCCCATACTTCCGGGCTAAACTCAGGGCTTGCAAACAGTTGCCCAAGTCTAGTTTCCCTTGTAGGCTCTCCAGCTCTGGGATGCCAGTACCATCCAGAGGCATCTGTAAGAAATTCATTCCCGCAACTGTTTCTAAGCTGTGTTTTGTAGTTTCATTGTGGCCTACGGGGTCTTCGACGGGGCTTGAACTCTCAGAAGAAGGGGATCGAGACCTTGAAGCCGGGCTGCCACAGGGGATCTGTAGGTCTGAGTTTTCCGTGATCTGCAGGTAGCTGTCCTTCCGGATGAGCCGTGGCTTGTTGAATGGCGAAGGGCACCTGTCAATCGAAGCGGGGCTATCCTCACTGTGGTCTGGCGGGATAACAATGTCACGCATGATCAAGGGCGAGGTGATGGGGCTGTACAGCGAGGTTGACTCACTGCTGCTGCTGCTTCCGCTGCTGCGCCTGCTTATCTGCAGGTCTCTGGAGGCACTTTCATTGACTCCCAGATTGGGCCCAGGGCTGCAGTGGCCTGCAGTCCTTGGCCCTCTATCTAAGATGGACTCTGAAGAAGATTCCACATAGTAATCATAGATCTTGCTCCGCACTTCCACAAGTCTATCCCCGGGCCTATCCAGCAAAAGGTCTCCATCTTTCACTACAACAGCGGCCTTTGACTGGAAGCTAGAGAAGGTGCCCAGGCTTCCAGCATCGTGCCTGAGCTCTCGGCCTACCTTTGTGCAGGGTTCCAGACTCCGTAGCAAGCAGGGGGACCGAGGCCGGCTCGTACTCACCTGGCCACTGTCGGAAGGAGAGCGTTGAGTTGCAAGGTGAGGAGAGAGGGTAATTCCCGTCCCGCACTCATCAGCTTCCTCCAGATTTGACAGGCTCAAAGGCTTAACGGCTTTATGGGCAATGTCCTTAACTGAGAATGTCGAATCCTCTGCAGGTGCATCCTGCTGTGCGGTGCCATTGTCAGTCTCCTTTTCCATCGTCTCAGCCTGCCCTGGATATTCCGCACTGTCTTCTTCTCGTGGTCCTATCTCTCCGTCAGGCCGAGGGTACAGTACGACACTCTCCTTCACATTCCTCGGGGGTGACTCATGCTCCTTCTGTTGCGCGGCTCCGTCGGCAAGCTCGGTTGCGATGTCGTTTTGCTGCTGCAGCTCTCCCTGGCAGCTGCTGCAGAGGCCCGGGGACTGGGTAGCGAGACTCGGTGGCAGAGGGTCGTCGTCCGGGGGAGCCAGCTGCCCCTGTTGTCCCGTCCGGTTTCTGGAGTTGTAAAACCTGTACGCCCAGGACACCAGCAGCACGGCCGCCACCGAAACCGTCAGCTTCCCCAGCATCTGCATGTCCAACTGCACGCCCAGCAAGTCTGCGATGGGCATCGCTGTGCTCGGCCCAGGGGGGAGGAGGTCAGGTACAGCACGTGAAAACAATGGCTCAGAGCAAAAGCCTGACCACCCGCATCGCCAGCTCCGGCTTCTGTCTGTCGCGTCTTAGCTTTACTTCCAGAGGGCATCTGTGAACCTGACACCTGACCACTGGCCTCTTTTGTTTCCTGATTTGCATCCAGGGTGGGGCCACAGTTACAACCTACCTACATTGGGTTCAAAGTCTTTTTTTAACTTGCCTAGATGTTTTTTTTTTTTGTTTTTTTTTTTTTTAAAGAACACAACAAAACTAATAATCATTTTACTAATCCCTCAGGTACAACCTGGCATGTTTGCTTCACGAGGCTGCAATATCGGACTGAGCTATGTGTTTGTCCTCTTGTGCTGCTTGATAGCAGGACTTTGTGAATTCCCTCCCCTCCCCTCCCCGTGCTGCTTAATCTGTATTAACTGTAGGTGCGCGTGCTGATTCCCCAAGGGCGCCAGGGAGACGCTGCAGCACACATTCACAAACATAACTCCTATCACATGTGTGCTTGTTTTTGGGAGAACTATGGTTTGCTTAAAGGGAGGGAAGCACCAACTGTTTACCTTGCAACAGGACACAACTCTTTGCATAGGCGAATGCCAGGAGTATTTCCCACTCCCCTTGTTTCTGTAATCCTCTTTACTCTGTATATTATATATTTTGTCTTTATTTACTTAGTCCAGCATTTTCATTCAACAACACAGCCCTTATCCATAAGGATGTGTGGCTGGATACTTATGTGGGCAAATTCAGGTTTAGTACCCTGGTTAAGGATAAAGACGGAACCTGCTGAGTTGAGCCAGTGGTCCCCAGGGTATAGTGCCACATCTTTAATGGTACACTGGCCCATGACATGCCAAAAATGTGTCACGTTGATTTTATCGTCTTTTAATGGCACTGAAAATAGAGCTCCTAATCACCTGATATAGACGAGTCATTGATTAGTGATTTTATTTTTTGTTTTTTAGAATTCTACTCGATCGATGGCGCAATCTCAAAACAAAACAACAATAGTCTGCCTCAGCCGCCGTTTCCATGACAGCAAAGCGCTGACCCTTGCGAAGGAGGTCACAGGCAGACATATGAGTCGCTTCAGACGCAGGAGTTACCTGGACACCTGATAGCAGTGCCTGCGAGCTGAATAAAAGCAACCCGAACCAGAAAGGCTCTTTACGTTGAATTATTTACCACCCCTCCCACACTGGAAGCTGCGCTCTACCCACCGCGTCCTGCCTGCCAGCCAGGCAGAGCCTTTCGGAACAATGAAGTTGGCAGTTTTTTCTTTTCTAATTTTTTTTTCCTGCCACATTTTTTTTCCTAATGAAAACGGAAGCCATCCAAGCATTTAAAGGGCTTCCAAACTATGCCTCCGCTGCTTTTCCTGCCTCTTTAACCACGCGGCAGGGAAGCTGCCATCTGGAAAAAAAAAAAAAAAATTCTCTGCAATTTGTTTTCTTTCTTTATTTTTAAATTTTTTTGATAAGCGATAATGTTTCACAGGCGGTTTTCAAGGAAGTGGATGGGGGGGGTGGGGTTGGATTGGCAGAGGCACCTCCAGCATACAGGCATAAGAATGGGCACCACATGGCCAGGCACAGAGGGTGGCAGGCTGTCAGGTCATCCTGCACCCACCGGACTCACTGAGGGACCCGAAGGAGTCAGCTGCTGCCTTGTGGCAGAGGCTACAGTCTGTGGCGCCAGCGTTTTTCTGTGGTTTAGGGTTATTTTTGCCAGGTGTGGTGGACGACCCTGCCTATATTTTGTTGGTCATTGGGAAGCGACACTTAGAACCTCGAAAAGGAGCACTTTCAGTCATTCGGCTGGATGCTGGATGTGCCTGCTGTTATGGCAGGAGTTTTTATAAATTCACACACACACACACACACACATGTAGGGTAAACATATCCTTATGGGGACCGCTCATTCATTTCAATGGGAAAAATGCTAACGCTAACTATGACAACCTTAACCCCTACGCTGCCCTAACCATAACCATAAGTAACCTAACAAAATACAAGAGTTTTTGCATTTTTAGTTTTTTCATAGCAGTCACCGGTTTATCAGCAGTCAGCAGTTTATAAAATAGTGTTTTCCCTTATGGGGACCAGGAAACCGGATATTTACCACGTTATGGGGACTGCCACCCACTGTGACTGTCATCATCGCCATCACTGTCACCTTCAATGTCACCATCTCTTTCACCATCACTGCCAGTGTCACGGTCTGGCTGGCAGAGGCAGTGAGGCACAGTGTAAAAAGAGGCACTGGGTCACGCAGAAGAACAGTATCTTCATGTTTAGATCAGTGCCATCCTCCCCAGAGATGGAGGTGATCTTCATTATAATTTTTTATTTTTTGCTTTTCATCCTTTTTGACCTCCCTCCCCAACCGTAGCTGATACTATTTGCATGTGACATGCTTGCTCCCTCCCCCCCCCCCCCAAAAAAAAAAAAAAAAAAAAAACCCATTGCCAATTGCCTAGTAAGATGGGGGCCTGGCTGGGCTGCAGATGAACGCTCTGTGACCCCAATCCATCCCGGTTTGTGTTTTGAAGAGCTGCACCGGGGGGATGTGAGGTTAAGGGAAGGCGGGCAGTGGTACGGCGAGGCTCGGTGCGAACCAGCCTGAGGCCCATTACATCACCTGCAGCTGCTGTCTAAAGTCTCACGTTTCTGATGTCATACGGCAAACATGCCCATGGAATGCTGGGATACAGCTTCACGGCCAGTTATTAGGAGGTGTAGTATGTGTTCTAGTGTCGTTCACATGCATGTTTACGCTGGAAGTAGCTCAAAGCACACGCAGAATTACTGACAAACGTCGCCCCAGTGGCACAGTCTGTGAAGTCTACAATGGTCTCACTTCTGTAATTAAAAATGTGTTTACACAGAAAGACTGACCCTCCCCCCACCCCAGCAGGCAAACATAAACACATTTGTTGCATGCCTCCCACAACACCATCAAGATCTTTCATGTATACCAGCCCTAGGGGATGGATTAAAAACACTAAATTGGAACACCTGACCGCAGGGGTAGTGTTGAAATGGGCGGTTCTGCTGTCCTGCCCGGTCCTGGCGGGATGCTATCTGAGAGCATCAGCCTCGGCTTACCACAGAAGAAGCGGCTATCTTGCCGTGGGTCCTTCAAGTGATTTAGATTTTTGTCCTTATTCTAATAACTTTTAGTCAACAATAACATGTAAATATGAACATATAACTTCTGCCCATTAAAAGATGGTAATCCCTTGTATAACGCAAATATTCCTTCTGATACGTTACTAGGAGGTGAGGACTTACTGGTGGTCATTTAGTTTGGTTTACTGGAGTCACAGGAATCAGTTATATGAACTGATTTGAATGTACATTGTTAGGGTTCATGTGGTTCTAGTGATGGTCTGTTTAATTCCATGGGTATGAATTCATTCTGTATGAGTCAGTTTTAATATCCATAAGCCATGTGATTTTTGTCCTGTTTCTTCTCTAACGACGTGCTGAAAAACCCACAGTGCTTCTGTTAAGATGGATGCCTGCGCTGTTGTGGACATTAGCATCTGAATAAAGCTTTTCAACAAAAAAACGTTGCGGAGGGAAACACGCAGGGATGCAGCGCTTCCGCTCGGACTGCCGCGTTTTCCAAACACTGCATCGGTTTCAAGGTCACACTGGACCTCGAGTAGCATTAATCCCAAGCTAACTCAGATGGAAGAAGCCATCTCTCTTTTTTCACACGATAAAATTCAGTGGCATGCACACAGCGACGCACAGCAAATGCATGCGATCTTTTCTTCAAAAGGGCCTCACTATTGAATTATATTAGCTTGAGGTTGTGATGTAAAAATAAGTAATAATTGGAAAAAAAATATGATTTGACCATAGGAACAATGCCAAATGACAATTACATAAAGTGGGAAGTATGGGAATATGACCAACAAACAAGAGTGTACAACGTGTCAATATTTATTTTTATTTACACTTTCCTGTTCTTTTAAAAAAATTTTTTTTTTTACATATTGCCATCAAACCCTCAGTAGAGAAGTGGTGAATGCATCTCCGAGGTCGCGCCTCGGTTTCCATAAAGACTGTTATCACAGCATCAACACTGTGGAGTTAGAATTAAGCAATCGGATAAATCTTGGCAAGCTTAATAGTCTCCTGATAATCTTCCAAATCCACAACGGATTAATCGCCTCCGCCCCCGGAGTTTTTCCCCGCTAAACGTAAGTATATCACTATGGCTCCTGTCGTTTGCTCCGAGTGCAGTATGTTTAGTTATTCTTCTCCCGTCATTAGCGGTACGTTTGTCTGCGATAAGTGTAAGCTAGTTGTCAGGCTGACGGAGAAGATCGCAGACTTAGAGGGACGCATCCGGACGTTACGGGAGATTCAGGAGAGTGAGAGTTTTATTGACGCAGTGTTAGCGGCTCCGGATATGTCCGCTATAGTGAGCCAGTGTCCCCCAGCTCCGGCAGCAGGGCCTTCGCAGCAAGGCGAGTGGGTGACGACCCGGCGGCATAGCCGTAAGTCCAAACAGGACTCACACCGGCACCATTCACCCATTCGCGTTTCCAACAGGTTCTCCCCACTCAGTGAAACACCCACTGAGCCGACCTGTTGAAAGTACTCTGGTAATCGGCGATTCTATGCTAAGAAATGTGAGAGTAGCGACTCC